GCACACGTTTCTCAATGATTCTCAATCGCACTTCCATTTACGCCCACACTTCGACTTATACTATACACACTTAATTTCTTAACGACTAATGAAGTTAAAACTCAATAGTTTTTCTATACAAACACAATTTAAGTTTTAGAAAAGTAAAGTATGGTATAGTGAAAAAAATAAGTAGGAAATAAAATACGAACCAATTACTCATAAACAATATAATAAACTCCCACGCGTAGCGCGGGCAACCGACTAGTATTTCTATAAATCAAGACATTGTGTGGTTTTGTTGGAAAAACACATTATTATGAATTATTACTGTGGAGATTGACATTTAAAGCAATAATTTATCAAAATAATAAGTATTTATGTTAAGTTCCATGCTTTTCAATTCAAAACTAATTGACAATAAATTTATGTATCTTATCAACTAGTTTTGGCTCTTTTAAACTTCCGATATGGGATTTCAATACGTCCTCTGAGATGAAGACTCTTAACGGTCCATTTAAAGCTACAATTTATTCTAGAATTCTTAATAAACTTATGTTGGACCACTTTTTTATTTCAGTAAATTAACGATATGATATTAAGTTAATAGATTTTTAACTTAAAATCAATCAATTGATAGTAAGTGCTATATGAGTAATTAGCATATATATCTTATATATTAGTGTTAGTCCCGAGATAGAATCTTTAAAAAATTCAAACATATATAATTTCCCAATTTGCTTATATGATTTATTGCGTTTTTATCAACAATTTATTTCTATGATTAAAAAAAGGAGACGGAGAAAATAGAGATATGCGGACACTAAATAGTTAAATTTATTTATCGTAGATGATAATAATGGTTATAATGCTATAATAATGTAATGAATAAAATAATTAGCTTATGTCAACAAAAAAAATTAACAAAATTATATTATTTGTGAAGCCATTGGTTGATCATAAGACAATCAAAAAGATTACTCCTACATCAATCTTTGAGATTTCCCATAAGGTAAAGAAAAGAGTAAAAAAAAAGTTATATGTATAGTGGAACACCAAAATCTCACAGGTGGGCAATCAAAAGACAAGTCCATTAAATCATATAAACCCTCCTATTTAAGCACTTTTTTAAATCAAATTAAGCACACACACACACATATACACTCACCACATTACTACTCATATTATATAAATATACACATAATCAATCACACATGAGAGATAGTCACATCACAAACTAATAACAAATCTCTCTCTCTCTCCCTATAAGTTTGAATGGCGATTTAAAGAAGACCCGTAGTTCTCTCTGATCATCCTCCTCCGACTTCTACTCTCATCAAAACACAACACTCAACGCTTATCTCTCATCACATCTCTTTACTCATTCTTCTCATTTGGATAAGATCTCTCTCCATCTCTATCTCTTTCTCCTCTTTTCTAGCAGATTCAATCCGAACCCTAACCTCTTTGATACCAATATTTTGAGAATATTTCCTTACTTTAAACTACAAAAAAAAGAAAAAAAAAAGATTTTACCAATCTCTCTCTTTATAATAACTTATACATATGCCATCAATGTCAAATTGTTCTATCTGTCCTTTGCTCTTAACTACTCTCACCACCACCACCACTACTTCTTCTTTACTACAAACCCTTCTCGTATTCTCTTAATCAATACGTACTTATTTATTACACATTACAAAACACAAACCCAAGTCTCTCTATCTCTATCTCTATCTCTATCTCTATCTCTATATATAAAAGCCAAAGAGAGAAAAGAGAGAACACAAAGAGAGAAGTTATATTATTTTGATGGATTTTTGTTGGATGAGAGAGATAGAAGGCAAACTAGCACATGATTACTTGTCTAGCCACCACCACCGAGGCATGACGTCACCACGTCGTATCTGCGTCGTCACCGGACCGGTGATCGTAGGCGCCGGACCGTCGGGTTTAGCCACGGTCGCATGTTTAAAAGAGAGAGGGATCACGTCAGTGCTACTCGAGAGATCAAACTGTATAGCTTCTTTATGGCAGCTCAAGACATACGACCGTCTTCATCTCCACCTCCCTAAACAATTCTGTGAACTTCCGATAATACCCTTTCCCGCCGACTTCCCAACCTACCCGACGAAGCAACAGTTCATTGAGTACCTTGAGGACTACGCTCGGAGGTTTGATATAAAGCCTGAGTTTAACCAGACCGTTGAGTCGGCTGAGTTTGATAAGAACCTTGGTATGTGGCGCGTGACCACCGTGGGAGATGAAGGCACGACGGAGTATGTTTGCCGGTGGTTAGTAGCGGCGACGGGGGAGAATGCGGAGCCGGTTGTGCCGAGGTTTGAAGGGATGGATAAGTTTGCAGCCACCGGGGTGGTTAAGCACACAAGTCATTACAAGACCGGTGGAGATTTCGCCGGAAAAAAGGTTCTTGTCGTCGGATGTGGTAACTCCGGTATGGAGGTTTGTTTGGATCTATGCAACTTCGGTGCTCAGCCTTCTCTCGTTGTCAGAGACGCTGTGAGTTTTTTTCTTTTGCTTTATTTCTTTTTGTTTTCTTGATTTTTTTTTTAAAGAGAAAAAAAGTATTTTGGCTCCTTTGATGTTTTTTTGTGGAGTTCTTCTTCTTCTATGCTAAAAAAGAAAAATCTTGAAAAAGCTTTTTTTAATCAAGTTGATATTAACTGTTTTCTTAACTCAAGATATTACCTACTTTTGCTTTTTGTTTTCTAGATTTTTACAGATTTTTAGGATTTTGTGTGTGTTCCTGTAAGTATTATCCAATATCAATATAATAGTCTTCCTTTTTTTAAATATTAGATTGTACTAAAAAAAAAATATCATGTTCTAGTTGATGAGTTTAAGAGAAAAAAGTTAATAGAAAAAAAATATTTGATTGAATGAATCAATGAACACAAATATTTTTATTTTATATATAAATGAACACATGATTGTGAAGAAAAAATATGTTTTAAGTTTCTTTACTCTGATTGTTGAAAGAGTTTTAGTTTGCTATTATATATAATTTATAAGTAAATTTTTAGATTTCATTGTAAGATTTTTTGGAATAATCAAATTTTTGTATACAAATGATTTTTATACAGACATTTTTAAAATTTATTTTTCTTGTAAATTTGAATTATCGTTTCTTTATTATGATTAGAAATCATGTGGAACTTTGTTTCCTATTTTTCTTTTTTTATAATAAATATATTTTTAAATAAAGTTATCATTATTTCTTTTGCTTTTCAGTTGATAATCTTATTATTTAATCTGTTTAGAAATTTCAAAATTTTACGGGAAAATACAAAGGCTGATATATGATCCTAATTTTAAGAATTTATTCTCTCTTTTAGGCCCTTGTGACTTCAAGTTCCAACAATTTGTATATTTTTTTTATTAAAAAAAGAGCTTTACCTAATTTCTTTAATACAGAAATATCATTTTTATAACATTTTCAAAGAATAAAAACTATGAAAACACCAACTTTATTGGGATTGTCACTAGCACGCGCAAACATTCTCACAAAAAAAAAAAATATATACAGTCTCTTAATATTACTATATGATTTATATAATATGATTTTTCATCCGAATTATATTTGCTAATAGTGTTTTATTTTTATATTTTATTTTTTGACTGGTGAAGGTGCACGTCCTACCACGAGAGATGTTGGGTACTTCGACTTTTGGGCTGTCCATGTTCTTACTCAAATGGCTGCCCATCCGGCTCGTTGACCGTTTCCTCTTGGTTGTTTCTCGGTTCATCCTCGGGGACACCACCTTGTTAGGTCTTAACCGGCCTCGGTTAGGTCCGCTCGAGCTCAAAAACATCTCCGGCAAAACTCCGGTCCTCGACGTCGGCACACTCGCCAAAATCAAAACAGGAGATATCAAGGTACCAAATGCTTATATCTAATCAAACATGACATATACACATGCATGTTACTATGTTAGTCAAAGACTTGATTACTGATATTGTGGTAATGGTAAAAAAAAAAAGGTTTGTTCGGGGATAAGAAGGTTAAAACGACATGAAGTTGAGTTCGATGACGGTAAAACTGAGAGATTTGACGCCATAATATTGGCAACTGGCTACAAAAGCAACGTACCCTCTTGGCTAAAGGTAGTCCATAATGATAATATTGTTTAAACCATATATTAAAATCTTTATTATTTTTTTCTTTTGACTTTGAAATTATATCCATTGTGAAGTTTGTATTAAATGGGTTTTGGAAAACATTTTCAGGAGAATAAAATGTTTAGTAAGAAAGATGGATTTCCAATACAAGAGTTCCCAGAGGGATGGAGAGGAGAATGTGGGCTATACGCGGTCGGGTTCACGAAACGTGGGATATCTGGAGCATCAATGGATGCAAAGAGAATAGCTGAAGACATAGACAAGTGTTGGAAACAAGACGAGCAAGTCAAGAAAATATGATCAAAAAACCTATAGAGAGACTAGCTATAAGCTTAGAGGAGTTGAAAGATTTAAGAGGGTTTTCTAATTCAAGAAAACATAAACATGCCAAAGGCGGGTAGCGATCGGGAACTTGATGGATTGGTTTCAAAAGGAGAGAGTTGGGAAGGGATGGGAGAGGAGGTGATGTAAATTAAAGACTTATCTCAGCCAGCTGCAATGCAAATTGGGGAAAAGAAAGAATGAAAAGGAAATGTAGTGAGAGTGATTGTGGTGGGAATTGATGATCATCTCTTGCCCAAAGGAGTGAGAGGAGGGGACCCCTTCTTCTCTTTGCATGCTTATAACCCACTTTGTAAATCTTTCTATGTTTCTAATTGCTTCTCTTCTTTTTTTTTTGTTTCTTTTTTGGTTTTAGTTTTTCCATAGTTAGGTATGCTCTTTGTTTTTCTACTTGGTTCAATTTTTTTTTGTTGAGGTTTTTGTTTATTATTATTATTATTATACATAATATTTGATTTAACTTTTTTAACCAACTAAACTCTTGAAGGACATAAGTAATTGATGATATGTGTCCTACCAATGAGTGTGTCAATGTAATTTCGTTGTCGAAATGATTTCATTCCCTAGTAGAAGTGTCATATAAATTAGGACCACTGGTTTTGTGTACATTCGTCAGAAATTAAGACCTGCACATTTATCATTCTTCTGACCGTTTTTTTTCCCCAATTATTGCTAGATGTACGGCCTCCACATGATTTCTTGTCATGAATTTGTTAATTCAATTTGGCTTATATCGAAATCTATACACTAGATCTCTCTAGCTAGTCAGATATATATATATGTCCATTTTAGATTCCATTGTTGATTTTACAACCTTGGCCGTATTTAGAGGATCTCTATATAATTCCATGCAGATTTGGTAAAATTTGTTAGCAAAGAACAATCGAGTTAACTTGTTATTCAAAACTTTAAATGATTTTTATCGGATACTAGCAAAGTTCTGATGTGTTCCTTTATTTCAATATTATTTTCTAGTAAAATAGTTTTGGATGCTTGGACACATTTTCATATCTTTATAATTGTAGTAGGAGATTTTAGTCAAAATCGCTTATATGGTTTTTAATGGCAAGCTCATCCACAATCAATATGCTAACTATTGTCTCGTTGAAGAGGATGTCAAAATTGTAATATATGTAGCAAAAGAGATAAGACAATTTAAACTTAAGGTTATTCTATGTGTGTGGAGAATGTAGAGATTGCTTTGCAGAGAGCATTTAAGTGTATTTTATGCTTCTCAAACCCAAAAAATGGTTTTGGTTTGAAAAACTAATCTTCTAGATGAAGAGTTATCTATACTTAAGCCATCAGACTGACAAAGAGTTATCTATATAGATGGAGTCTCATTAATGGTCTCTATTTATTTTAGTGTGTCCTCTTCTTTTGTGAGTCAACAAAGAGATTCATAAATTGTTGTTTATTAGAATCTTTTTCTAAGAAGCTCAAGCATTTCAAACTGGAGTGTTACACAATATATGATATGATAATATTCGTTGTAGTGAAAAGTCGCATGAGAACAAGATCTTTCTTCGGATCCTTAGAGTTTCCTATCGTTGAGCTGCTTTTATGGAATCTATTTTTATGGTTTTCTAGTTAACTGAAGGTCCTAACTCTTTAAATATTTTTGCATGTTGCACAATATTTGGTCATTGTGACATTTTTTTATAAAGTCACACATGGAAGATTCTTCCTTCAGGGTCTTTTCGAGTCTTCTACCATGATGCTATTTTCATCAGTTGCAAACCAGCTAGGTTAGTTTTACAACGAATAAAATGAATTACCAAAATAAAGTAAATACACCAAAGCTGCCTCGAGTTTTAACGATAATCGATATATATATAACACTGTATAAAAACTCGCAGCAGCACTATAGTATATATATTTTCATTTTATTATGACTTTGTATTGTAAGATCAAAACTTATAAGTAGAAAGAACTTACAGCCAAATATAAGCAAAAACATATAATTAATAAGCACCTAACATTATTGCTGAATTAGCACCACAAATTTATGAGAAAACTCCTGAAATTATAAGTTTTCTGCCAAAGAAGACAGGGCCATACAATTAAAATCTGAACATAATAAATAGTTTAGTCTTTGGACCATCATTAGTCATGTGGCTGACCTAAAAACGTCAAATGTAATTAGAGAATGTTTTTTTTTTTTTAAATGTCAAGGGTCAATTTTCACTCAGAACTATATTACCTATTTCATTTTTTTGTTAGTTTTAATTCATCGTAAGATATTTATACATGAAATTATATATGATGACAAGTATAATGGAAAAAGGGAACAAGGATCTTACAGAAATTTTACTTTTGTAAAAGGCACATAAGTAACAAGCTGGAGCCCCTTACACTTTTGCCAAGCTGTTGGGGAAATTTTAGGAAACAAAATCAGATATTCAGATCCCAAATCAAATCTTTCAATTTATATATTATTGTCAACATCGAATCTTTATTTCGAAAAACTCCACTTTTTTTTTTTGCTATTTCAATTAAAATTTTGGTTTGAAGTAATTAGTAGTAGTGGCTGACTCCAAATAGGCGAACAGGATTTGATCTATCATTACATTTCTTAGTCCCACATTTGTTTAACATAAGAAGCACTCACTCTTTTTCAAAATAATGTTTCTGCTTTTTCTGAAGTTTTTTTGCCTTTTTTAGTTTTATGCTTTTTCTTGGCTCTGAATTATATGGTTGGCTTGTCAACCAAAATCTTGTTCTTTTACATCAAATGGTGTAGATGATTGCGTCCATATATTCATGTAGTAGATACGACTGAAATATATCAGAATAGATTGTTTCACTATATCATACACTAACACTATATACTGTACAAATTAGCGAGTACATGTACTTAACTAAGTATTAAAAAATTATGACCTTAAATATCTAAGTTTGTGTTTGGAGTTCTCGGGAATTATTAGATCGACTTTGATGTTAATTTTTGTTTCAAAGAGACATAGACAAATGTTAATTTTCCTTACAAGTCGATATCAAAGTTTCCGAATTCTCTCCTAAAAGCTTGGACGATGAAACGACAAAAAAAAAACCATTAATATTCTCTATAAAAACCAGTTAAATCCATGTTTATGAAGACATACATGAAGGTGGAATGGGAAAATGGTGTTTTACAGGAGTTGGAAGTGACATTACAAGGATCTTTGGCTAATGGCTTAAACCTATCCGACAAGAAGACAGTAAAATGTGAGCTGTATCAAATTTTAAACCAAAAAGGGTACATGTATCATCAATATGACATAGTGGACTTGGTAACATGAGCATTTTAATGAGCTATTTGTTACTTTCTGAAAAGAGCATCCTTAAAAAAAAATGATGGAGATATTGAATATTGTTAACACTTTGTCTTAAAATAGAGAAGGTGAGCTCTATTTAGCATTGGTATGTATGCACAGTACATATATATAGCTTTGCGTTATGTCCATAACTTTTTTGCTCGTTGCTTGAATTTTATTTCTTGCAACAATAAACTATAACAAGAGACAACAATACTATATGGATGTTACATACTTACAATTGGTTTCTAGCTAGAGAGTAAATACACATGCATACGAATAAAATTTGGTCAAAATTATCTAAGACACTATGACGTTTAAAAGATTTTTACTAAAATTACATTTTTTATATTCAGAAGATCATTCAGTTCTAAAGCCATGTAAAATTCTATCTTGACATTATTTAATTAGTGCATGTATTATGAACATTTTATCTATAAGCAAAAAATATCAGTTTGTTTATGCAAAGTAGATTCCTTATTAATTAGACCATAAATAAGATCGTAATTGTAAAATTTCTTCAAACATATCGTATCTCAATATTTTTTGGGTCAAACTCTTGAATCAATGAATCGGCTAGGACGACGTGGTTATTATAGTCTTGTCAAGCATGAGCTCAACTATGAAGTCTGTCTCTGTCGGATTGCGAGTTCATACCATATAGTTCAGAACACATATAGCTTTAGAAATCCTACCTCTAAATATCTTACATATGGATCTCAAAACTCGTATAACTCCAAAAAATGACTCATGTCAATGTGTCATCATAGGCAAATGGGTTTCATATACGAAATACTTTAAGAAAAAAAAAAAAATTCACGGGAAAAAACTAAGTTGCTTTGGTCCAGTGGTAAAGGGAGGTAAGTCATGTCACCTGGGTTCGAGTAGCATTGGCCACGGGGGTTCAAGATTTAACATGGTTTCTCTCGATCCCAAGAGATTAGTGTTTGGGCATAGAAAACTTTTAGGATCACTTCTGAGTTATCAAAAAAAAAAAAAAAAATCAGAAGAGGGAAAGAAAATATAAACTTAGATATAGAAGAGGGAAAAAATAAGGTTTTGAAAGTTGAATTAAAATCAAAAGTATTTAAGTATTGGTGACCAAAAAAAATAAAATCAGGTATGAGTAGTAGTGGTCCATAATGAGTCCTCGTCCACAAGGGAAGAAGAGACCTCGCTGGACGAAGCAGCCGCTGTCGTACATTTGGCACACCAAAAGGGTCCCTAATCTTTCTGAACCATCCGATTTCACAAAAATGCTTTAAAACTCTTCCCACCCACTGGTCCTTCCTTAGGTTCGCATTCATTGTCTTAACACAACGGTCTCTCACAAAATGGACCATTTCAGTTTTCGTCCGTTAATTTTATTTAGTAACAACTAATCAATCTTGAAAAGAAAGATCGGACGGTGAGACTATCACCAAAACATGACATGGTCCTATCATCCCACGGCTTTGGTTTGATGATTGTGATTTCGTTTCGGTTATGAATCTCATTGATCAATGATTACCAAAACAAAACAAAAAACGAAATAATCTTTGGGATTTAAGAGAAAAATCTGTCAGAAGATTTGACGTGACGACGTTGCATCTCTCCCATAAAAGCCACACCAAACTTTTTACCAATATTTTGTTGTAAGGTTCAGTTTCTACATGGCTAGGCTTTGAAATTACGACCAAGATACAATTAGCATCACATGAAAGACACAAGACACAAGAACTAACAAAGTTCACTTAACATATGTCGAAAACAATCACTAGTTCATGAGATACATGAATTGTATAAAAAAAAAAAAAAAACTTTATGATATGATGGTGAGATGGTCCTATGTAATTATGACTCATGCGTGTTAATATAACTGATGAACTTTTGGAAAAGGATTCTTGCACTGATTTGTATTTTCTTTCACTTCAAGAAAAAGAAAAAAATCCATTTTATTGATTATTTTGCAACACTTAAAAACTACTTTAATCAAAATTTCTCTTGATATTATTGAATACTTTCTTCCATTTTTTAAAGAAGAAAAAAAACTTAAGTAAATAAGGAAACGAAAGCAAAACAATCTGATCAAGTAATCATGCGAAAGCATATGAA